GGTGCATATACATTTAGGATAGTTAGCTCTTCTTGTTTCATTGATCCCTTTACCATTATGTAATGCCCTTCTTTGTCTCTTTTGATCTTTGTTTGTTTAAACTCTGTTTAATCAGACATTAGGATTGTAATTTCTGCTTTTGTTTTTGCTTTCCAATTGCTGGTAAATATTCCTCCATCCCTTAATTTTGAGCCTATTGTGTCTGCATATGAAATGGGTCTGCTGAATACAGCACACTGATGCATCTTGAGCCTTTATCCAATTTGCTAGTCTGTGTCTTTTAATTGGGGCATTTAGCCCATTTATATTTAAGTTCAATACTTTTAGGTGTGAATTTGATCCTGTCATTATGATGCTAGGTGGTTATTTTGCCTGTTAGTTAATGCAGTTTCTTCATAGTTTCGATGGTCTTTACAATTTGGCATGTTTTTGCAGTGGCTAGTATTGGTTGTTGCTTTCCATGTCTAGTGCTTCCTTCAGGAACTCTTGTAAGACAGGCCTGGTGGTGGCAAAATCTCTTAGCATTTGCTTGTCTATCAAGGATTTTATTTCTTCTTCACTCACAAAGCTTAGTTTGGCTGGATATGAAATTCTGGGTTTAAAATTCTTTTCTTTAAGAATGTTGAATATTGGCCCCGACTCTCTTCTGGCTTGCAGGGTTTCTGCAGAGAAATCTGCTGTTAGTCTGATGGGCTTCCCTTTGTGGGTAATCCGGCCTTTTTTCTGGCTGCCCTTAACATTTTTTCCTTCATTTCAACCTTGGTGAATCCGATGATTATGTATGTTGGGATTGCTCTTCTTGAAGTGTATCTTTGTGGTGTTCTCTGTATTTCCTGAATTTGAATATTGGCCTGTCTTCCTAGGTTGGGGAAGTTCTCCTGGATATTATCCTGAAGAGTGTTTTCCAACTTGTTTCCATTGTCCCTGTCACTTTCAGTACACCAATCAAATGTAGATTTGGTCTTTTCACATAGTCCCATATTTCTTAGAGGCTTTGTTTGTTCCTTTTTATTATTATTTTTTCTTATCTTGTCTTCTTGGTTTATTTCATTAAGTTGATCTTCTGTCTCTCATATCCTTTCTTCCACTTGATCAATTTTGCTATTGATATTTGTGTATGCTTCACAAAGTTCTCGTGCTGTGTTTTTCAGCTCCATCAGGTCATTTATGTTCTTCTCTAAACTGGTTATCCTAGTTAGCAATTTGTCTAACCTTTTTTCAAGGTTTTTAGCTTCCTTGCATTGGTTTAGAACATGCTTTTTTTTTTTTTTTTTTTTTTTTTTTTTTTTTTTTTTTTTTTTAGCTCAGAAGAGTTTGTTATTACCCACCTTCTGAAGCCTACTTCTGTCAGTTCATCAAACTCACCCTCTGTCCAGTTTTGTTTCCTTGTTGGTGAGGAGTTGTGATCCTTTGGAGAAGAAGAGATGTTCTGGTTTTTGGGATTTTCCGCATTTTTCACTGGCTTCTCCCCATCTTTGTGGATTTATCTACCTTTGGTCTTTGACGTTTGTGACCTTCAGATGGGGTCTCTGAGTGGACATGCTATTCCTGTTTGTTAGTTTTCCTTCTAACAGTCAGGCCCCTCTGCTGCAGGTCTGCTGGAGTTTGCTGGAGGTCCGCTCCAGACCCTGTTTGCCTGCATATCACCAACAGAAGCTGCAGAACAACAAAGACTGCTGCCTGTTCTTCCCTCTGGAAGCTTCATCTCAGAGGGGCACCAGCCAGGCGCCAGCCAGAGCTCTCCTGTATGAGGTGTCTGTCTGCCCCTAGTGGGAGGTGTCTCCCAGTCAGGATACAAGGGGGTCAGGGACCCACTTAAGGAGGCAGTCTGACCCTTAGCAGAGCTCGAAAGCTGTTTTGGGAGGTCAGCTGCTCTCTTCAGAGCTGTCAGGAAGGGACGTTTAAGTCTGCTGAAGCTGCTCCCACAGCTGCCCCTTCCCCCTGGTGCTCTGTCCCAGGGAGATGGGGGTTTTATCTGTAAGTCCCTGACTGGGGCTGCTGCCTTTTTTTCAGAGATGCCCTGCCCAGAGAGGAGAAATCTGGCAGTCTGGTCACAGTAGCCTTGCTGAGTTGCGGTGGGCTCCACGCAGTTTGAACTTCTTGGTGGCTTTGTTTACACTGTGAGGGTAAAACCGCCTACTCAAGCCTCAGCAAAGGCGGACGCCTCTCCCTCACCAAGCTCCGGTGTCCCAGGTAGATCTCAGACTGCTGCTGTGCTGGCAGCGAGAATTTCAAGCCAGTGGATCTCAGTTTGCTGGGCTCAGTGGGGGTGGGACCCGCCCAGCCAGACCACTTGGCTCCCTGGCTTCAGCCCCCTTTCCAGGGGAGTGAACCGTTCTGTCTCCCTGGCGTTCCAGGCACCAGTGGGGTATGGAAAACAAAAAACAAAAAAAACTCCTGCAGCTAGTTTGGTGTCTGCCCAAACGGCCACTGAGTTTTGTGCTCGAAACCCAGGGCCCTGGTGGGGTAGGCACTGGAGGGAATTTCCTGGTCTGCAGGTTGCAAAGACCGTGAGAAAGGCACAGTATCTGGGCTGGAGTGCACGATTTCTCAGGCTCAGTCCCTTATGACTTCCCTTGGGTAGGGGAGAAAATTCCCTGACCCCTTGTGCTTCCCAGGTGAGATGACGCCTCACCCTGCTTTGGCTTGCCCTCCATGGGCTGCACTCACTGTCCAACCAGTCCCAGTGAGATGAACTGGGTACCTCAGTTGGAAATGCAGCAATCACCCACCTTCTGCATCCGTCTCACTGGGAGCTGCATGCCGGAGCTGTTCCTATTTGGCCATCTTGCCAACAATCCAATTTACCTCATTCTTATGAGAGATCAGATAGTCTTGTGATATAGAAAGCGAAGGGGAAGTGATCTTATTCACCTATAAACAAATTAGTTTGACTGCTTAGGTCTCTGGTTCGCTTCCTAGCACTTCTCTCCCAACACACATGCACACACACACGCCCTACAGAGTCATACCCCAGCATATACATATATATCTATATTGAGACTCAGGAGCATGAAGGGGAATAGGCAGTGAACTTGATATTTACCTAGATAACAAACTAATAAGCACTCAGTCTACCATTTTCACCTTTCTTCTTTTGTCTTTTCCTTTTTTTTGTAATAAGGATGTCTTTGCAATGTGCTGACCTCACGCATGACCCAGAAATTAACAGAATGACAAAGAGTTGTGCTCTGATAATGGAGAATGTATCTGATTACATTACGTTTCTTTTTAAAAATTACCTAGAGACATATTTTAAAATCCATAAATGTATAAATATACATTTTTCAGGTGGAGTGTGAAGATTAAGTTTCTTAAATACCAATATTTTGATGTGTATTATTCTGAAATCTTGTTTCTAAAGTTAGGAAATTCTAGGAATAGTGTTTTTTCCCTTTAAAAATTACCCTGCTTACACACAAACTGTTTCTCAGTCTGGTCTATCCATGCTGTAAGTAGATATTTTCTCCAGAGTTGTGAGTTTTTCTATTTTTGAAGGTCGTTTCATTGAGAAGCTTAGAAAAGGCAAATATGAAACAATCTAGGGTACAAGTAAAACCAGGAAAATATCCATGAAATTAAGGGTAAAATGCTGTACTTTGCTCCACAAATCACATCTCTATTTGATGCACATCCAAGAAAGAGTGCTGTTAGTCTTCAGAGGCACCTGTACTATTTTAGTTTTCTAAAATTCTGTTGAACTTATCATTTTGTACATTCCTGAGTATGAAAGTGACTTACATTTTTAACAAATGAAAATATTGAACTATAAAAGTGGAATGAAAGAAAGAGAAATTCTGGATTTTGCTTTTTTGGATTCCAAAGCAGGGCTAGGCCAGGCATGGTGGCTCATGCCTATAATCCCAACACTTTGGGAGGCTGAGGCAGGAGGATTGCTTGAGCCCAGGAGTTCAAGACCTGGGACAACAGTTTGGACAACATAGGAATAGCCTACCTTTACAAAATAGATAAATAAATTAGCCAGGTGTAGCTGAACATACCTGTACTCCCAGCTACTCAGGAGGCTGAGGTAGGAGGATTACTTGAGTCCAGAAGTTCGAGGGTGCAGTGAGCTTCTATTATACCACTGCACTGCAGCGTGGGTGCTGGATGACAGAGCAAGACCCTGTCAAAAAAAAAGAAAAAAAAACAAGAGGAAGAAAAGAAGAAGAAGAAGAAGAAGAAGAAGAAGAAGAAGAAGAAGAAGAAGAAGAAGAAGAAGAAGAAGAACAAGAAGAAGAAGAAGAAGAAGAAGAAGAAGAAGAAGAAGAAGAAGAAGAAGAAGAAGAAGAAAGGAAGGAAGGAGAAAGAAAAAGAAAGAAAGAAAGAGAAAGAAGGAAGGAAGGAAGGAGGGAAGGAAGGAAAGAAAGAAAAAAGAAAAGAAAGAAAGAAGGAAAGAAAGAAAGAAAGAAAGGGAAAGAAAAAAAGAAAGAAAGAAAGAGAAAGGCCGAATCTTCTGAATACTGGGTATGTTTACGAAGTATTACTTCTCAATCTAAATTTTGTTCTGCACACCCTGTTGCTGTATCATTTGAATATGTAATCATTTCAAATATACTTCCTTTTTATTTCAGGATGGCTATCCTTTTGTGAGTGTTCTTAATAGTTAGGCCTCTATAGAAAATGGCTCAAGACGTAGAGAATGGTAGTAAAGATCGAGCATTTTGAAAGGAGCCTTTTAGAAGAACCTAGTGGAGTACCCTGAAGCTGAATTACTAAAGCAATTTGCATGCATTTGTCATAGTCAAAGAGACATCTTTTCAAAAGGGGTCTGTAAATTGTTCAGCTCAGAGTGACACAATTTCAATGACTTATTTTAAGTCCACATGATTTTAATGAAAATCTGAGGAAGGGTCTTATTATGCTAGGTTGTGCCTTCTTGCTGTAAGTAGCAAATAATAATAATGATTATATTAATAATCAGGAGAATAAAGAGGAGAAATAGATGATAACTATCAATAATAATAACAAACATTTATTTCATGTTTTTTATGTGCTAGGCACGGAACTCAACACTTTATGTGCTCCCTGTCATTCGATGCTAACAATACCAATATTCAATGAAAAGTACTGAGGCTTAAAAGTCAGATGACTTGTCCAGAATCACAGGATAGAAGCCCAGGTAATCTGGTATAAGAGCCAGGCTTTTCTTCTACTACAACATTCTTCATCCTGTATGACCTTGGAAATCTGGAATTAGAAGAGTGGAGTTCACGTGTCACCTGAAATGCTCCTTAGGGTTAGCGCTGCACCTGTGGGAATGTCATTAGCTCATACCTAGAATCTGACTTTCCATCTGTAAAATAAAGCTAGACTCTGTAGTTTCCCCAGACCCTACTAGTGCTGCTATTCTATGACCATGGAACATATCTTATGACTTATGCTCAAGGTGACTCTCTTGGTTTGCCTAAGATTGAGAGATTGAGAGAGTTATCAAGATGTGCACTTTTCAGTCTAGGAAAACCTGGGTTGCTAGTGACCTATGACAATATCTGATATAGTATCTATATTTTGGACACAACCATTTATTGATTTATCAGACTTCTTTGGGGTTCTTTTGTTTCTCAAAGTCTTAAAGAACTGGGACACAGAATAGTAAGACTTTATGTTTCTTAGATCAACTGTTGAATACCTGGAACATAGGGGAGATTATTTTGAAGGGATCTGCATTTTCCTACCTGGACATGTTATGCTCAAGTTATCGGGATGGTTTCCCCCTTCCTTTCCTTTTACTTGAAAACAGTTGGCTGGTTTGTTTTGTTAAATTTGCCTTTGCACTGATAGTTGAGGAATGCTTAGTGACAAGAATATAGCATTTGTAATCCATTTGAAACTTTCTCCACTGGTGAAAGGGAATGGTTGTGTAGTAATAATAGCTTCATTTTGGTGAGCACTTACTCTTTAAAAAACACCTTACATGAACTGACTGAATCCCGAAACAGCTGTGATTCCAAGTACCTATTATTGTCCACACTTCAAAGGTAAGAAAACTGAGACTCAGGTAAGTTGTAATTTACTGAAGTTAGCAAATCTAAACTGGCATTTGAAGTGTGGTGCCCCTAAATCAGAGTCCCTGTGTTTCCCATGCAAATGGTGACTTCTGTGGTTCAAACAGCTAACATTTCTAGTTTATTTGAATATGAGTACTGCTTATAGTCCTAAAGATTTCAAGTGAAAATACACTTAGATGTCTGGGTTTTTGCTTTCAATTCCTGACTTTCTTCCCATACAGAATAATTGGATCATTTCTTCAACAGATATGAAACAAGTACTTTACTTACTGCTGTATTTTTCCCCAACTTTAAAAGTTCCTGTTTATTGGGACAATGTTTTATTTCCAGTTCTTGTGAAACAAAGATGCATCTTTATCGCTAAAATAAAAACACAATGACATTTATAAAATTTCCATGGTTCTGGATAGTCCAGGCAGCAAGAAAGAACATTTCAATGAAGGCATGGCATTTAACAGAATGTACTCATGAAACTACAATTTTAAATAGTATGAACTACAATATGTGTCTATTTACATCAGTATATAATATTAGAAAATTTATAACTTCTTTTTTTTAAAATTTATTTATTATTATTATACTTTAAGTTGTAGGGTACATGTGCATAACGTGCAGGTTTGTTACATATGTATACTTGTGCCATGTTGGTGTGCTGCACCCATCAACTCGTCATTAAATCAGGTATAACTCCCAATGCAATCCCTCCCCCCTCCCCCCTCCCCATGATAGGCCCCTGTGTGTGATGTTCCCCTTCCTGAGTCCAAGTGATCTCATTGTTCAGTTCCCACCTATGAGTGAGAACATGCAGTGTTTGGTTTTCTGTTCTTGTGATAGTTTGCTAAGAATGATGGTTTCCAGCTGCATCCATGTCCCTACAAAGGACACAAACTCATCCTTTTTGATGGCTGCATAGTATTCCATGGTGTATATGTGCCACATTTTCTTAATCCAATCTGTCACTGATGGACATTTGGGTTGATTCCAAGTCTTTGCTATTGTGAATAGTGCTGCAATAAACATACGTGTGCATGTGTCTTTATAGCAGCATAATTTATAATCCTTTGGGTATATACCCAGTAATGGGATGGCTGGGTCATATGGTACATCTAGTTCTAGATCCTTGAGGAATCGCCATACTGTTTTCCATAATGGTTGAACTAGTTTACAATCCCACCAACAGTGTAAAAGTGTTCCTATTTCTCCACATCCTCTCCAGCACCTGTTGTTTCCTGACTTTTTAATGATCGCCATTCTAACTGGTGTGAGATGGTATCTCATTGTGGTTTTGATTTGCATTTCTCTGATGGCCAGTGATGATGAGCATTTTTTCATGTGTCTGTTGGCCGTATGAATGTCTTCTTTTGAGAAATGTCTGTTCATATCCTTTGCCCACTTTTTGATGGGGTTGTTTGTTTTTTTCTTGTAAATTTGTTTGAGTTCTTTGTAGGTTCTGGATATTAGCCCTTTGTCAGATGAGTAGATTGCAAAAATTTTCTCCCATTCTGTAGGTTGCCTGTTCACTCTGATGGTAGTTTCTTTTGCTGTGCAGAAGCTCTTTAGTTTAATGAGATCCCATTTGTCAATTTTGGCTTTTGCTGCCGTTGCTTTTGGTGTTTTAGACATGAAGTCTTTGCCCATGCCTATGTCCTGAATGGTACTACCTAGGTTTTCCTCTAGGATTTTTATGGTATTAGGTCTAACATTTAAGTCTCTAATCCATCTTGAATTAATTTTCGTATAGGGAGTAAGGAAAGGATCCAGTTTCAGCTTTCTACTTATGGCTAGCCAATTTTCCCAGCACCATTTATTAAATAGGGAATCCTTTCCCCATTTCTTGTTTCTCTCAGGTTTGTCAAAGATCAGATGGCTGTAGATGTGTGGTATTATTTCTGAGGACTCTGTTCTGTTCCATTGGTCTATATCTCTGTTTTGGTACCAGTACCATACTGTTTTGGTTACTGTAGCCTTGTAGTATAGTTTGAAGTCAGGTAGCGTGATGCCTCCAACTTTGTTCTTTTGACTTAGGATTGTCTTGGAGATGCGGGCTCTTTTTTGGTTCCATATGAACTTTAAAGCAGTTTTTTCCAATTCTGTGAAGAAACTCATTGGTAGCTTGATGGGGATGGCATTGAATCTATAAATTACCTTGGGCAGTATGGCCATTTTCACGATATTGATTCTTCCTATCCATGAGCATGGTATGTTCTTCCATTTGTTTGTGTCCTCTTTTATTTCACTGAGCAGTGGTTTGTAGTTCTCCTTGAAGAGGTCCTTTACATCCCTTGTAAGTTGGATTCCTAGGTATTTTATTCTCTTTGAAGCAATTGTGAATGGAAGTTCATTCCTGATTTGGCTCTCTGTTTGTCTGTTACTGGTGTATAAGAATGCTTGTGATTTTTGCACATTAATTTTGTATCCTGAGACTTTGCTGAAGTTGCTTATCAGCTTAAGGAGATTCTGGGCTGAGACAATGGGGTTTTCTAAATATACAATCATGTCATCTGCAAACAGGGACAGTTTGACTTCTTCTTTTCCTAACTGAATACCCTTGATTTCTTTCTCTTGCCTAATTGCCCTAGCCAGAACTTCCAGCACTATGTTGAATAGGAGTGGTGAGAGAGGGCATCCCTGTCTTGTGCCAGTTTTCAAAGGGAATTTTTCCAGTTTTTGCCCATTCAGTATGATATTGGCTGTGGGTTTGTCATAAATAGCTCTTATTATTTTGAGGTACGTTCCATCAATACCGAATTTATTGAGCGTTTTTAGCATGAAGGGCTGTTGAATTTTGTCAAAAGCCTTTTCTGCATCTATTGAGATAATCATGTGGTTCTTGTCTTTGGTTCTGTTTATATGCTGGATTATGTTTATTGATTTGCGAATGTTGAACCAGCCTTGCATCCCAGGGATGAAGCCCACTTGATCATGGTGGATAAGCTTTTTGATGTGTTGCTGAATCCGGTTTGCCAGTATTTTATTGAGGATTTTTGCATCGATGTTCATCAGGGATATTGGTCTAAAATTCTCTTTTTTTGTTGTGTCTCTGCCAGGCTTTGGTATCAGGATGATGTTGGTCTCATAAAATGAGTTAGGGAGGATTCCCTCTTTTTCTATTGATTGGAATAGTTTCAGAAGGAATGGTACCAACTCCTTCTTGTACCTCTGGTAGAATTCAGCTGTGAATCCATCTGGTCCTGGACTTTTTTTGGTTGGTAGGCTATTAATTATTGCCTCAATTTCAGAGCCTGCTATTGGTCTATTCAGGGATTCAACTTCTTCCTGGTTTAGTCTTGGAAGAGTGTAAGTGTCCAGGAAATTATCCATTTCTTCTAGATTTTCCAGTTTATTTGCGTAGAGGTGTTTATAGTATTCTCTGATGGTAGTTTGTATTTCTGTGGGGTCGGTGGTGATATCCCCTTTATCATTTTTAATTGCGTCGATTTGATTCTTCTCTCTTTTCTTCTTTATTAGTCTTGCTAGTGGTCTGTCAATTTTGTTGATCTTTTCAAAAAACCAACTCCTGGATTCACTGATTTTTTGGAGAGTTTTTTGTGTCTCTATCTCCTTCAGTTCTGCTCTGATCTTAGTTATTTCTTGCCTTCTGCTAGCTTTCGAATGTGTTTGCTCTTGCTTCTCTAGTTCTTTTAATTGCGATGTTAGAGTGTCAATTTTAGATCTTTCCTGCTTTCTCTTGTGGGCATTTAGTGCTATCAATTTCCCTCTACACACTGCTTTAAATGTGTCCCAGAGATTCTGGTATGTTGTATCTTTGTTCTCATTGGTTTCAAAGAACATCTTTATTTTTGCCTTCATTTCGTTATGTACCCAGTAGTCATTCAGGAGCAGGTTGTTCAGTTTCCATGTAGTTGAGAGGTTTTGATTGAGTTTCTTAGTCCTGAGTTCTAGTTTGATTGCACTGTGGTCTGAGAGACAGTTTGTTATAATTTCTGTTCTTGTACATTTGCTGAGGAGTGCTTTACTTCCAATTACGTGGTCGATTTTGGAGTAAGTACGATGAGGTGCTGAGAAGAATGTATATTCTGTTGATTTGGGGTGGAGAGTTCTATAGATGTCTATTAGGTCTGCTTGCTGCAGAGATGAGTTCAATTCCTGGATATCCTTGTTAACTTTCTGTCTCGTTGATCTGTCTAATGTTGACAGTGGAGTGTTGAAGTCTCCCATTATTATTGTATGGGAGTCTAAGTCTCTTTGTAAGTCTCTAAGGACTTGCTTTATGAATCTGGGTGCTCCTGCATTGGGTGCATATATATTTAGGATAGTTAGCTCTTCCTGTTGAATTGATCCCTTTACCATTATGTAATGGCCTTCTTTGTCTCTTTTGATCTTTGATGGTTTAAAGTCTGTTTTATCAGAGACTAGTATTGCAACCCCCGCTTTTTTTTGTTCTCCATTTGCTTGGTAAATCTTCCTCCATCCCTTTATTTTGAGCCTATGTGTGTCTCTGCGTGTGAGATGGGTCTCCTGAATACAGCAGACTGATGGGTCTTGACTCTTTATCCAGTTTGCCAGTCTGTGTCTTTTAATTGGAGCATTTAGTCCATTTACATTTAAGGTTAAGATTGTTATGTGTGAACTTGATCCTGCCATTATGATATTAAGTGGTTATTTTGCTCGTTAGTTGATGCAGTTTCTTCCTAGCCTCGATGGTCTTTACATTTTGGCATGTTTTTGCAATGGCTGGTACCGGTTGTTCCTTTCCATGTTTAGTGCTTCCTTCAGGGTCTCTTGTAAGGCAGGCCTAGTGGTGACAAAATCTCTAAGCATTTGCTTATCTGTAAAGGATTTTATTTCTCCTTCACTTATGAAACTTAGTTTGGCTGGATATGAAATTCTGGGTTTAAAATTCTTTTCTTTAAGAATGTTGAATATTGGCCCCCACTCTCTTCTGGCTTGTAGAGTTTCTGCCGAGAGATCTGCTGTTAGTCTGATGGGCTTCCCTTTGTGGGTAACCCGACCTTTCTCTCTGGCTGCCCTTAAGATTTTTTCCTTCATTTCAACTTTGGTGAATCTGGCAATTATGTGTCTTGGAGTTGCTCTTCTCGAGGAGTATCTTTGTGGCGTTCTCTGTATTTCCTGGATTTGAATGTTGGCCTGCCCTACTAGGTTAGGGAAGTTCTCCTGGATGATATCCTGAAGAGTGTTTTCCAACTTGGTTCCATTCTCCCCCTCACTTTCAGGCACCCCAATCAGACGTAGATTTGGTCTTTTTACATAATCCCATACTTCTTGCAGGCTTTGTTCATTTCTTTTTCTTCTTTTTTCGTTTGGTTTCTCTTCTCGCTTCATTTCATTCATTTGATCCTCAATCGCAGATACTCTTTCTTCCAGTTGATCGAGTCGGTTACTGAAGCTTGTGCATTTGTCACATATTTGTCGTGTCATGGTTTTCATCTCTTTCATTTCGTTTATGACCTTCTCTGCATTAATTACTCTAGCCATCAATTCTTCCACTTTTTTTTCAAGATTTTTAGTTTCTTTGCGCTGGGTACGTAATTCCTCCTTTAGCTCTGAGAAATTTGATGGACTCAAGCCTTCCTCTCTCATCTCGTCAAAGTCATTCTCTGTCCAGCTTTGATCCGTTGCTGGCGATGAGCTGTGGGGAGATGCGCTCTTATTTTTTGAATTTCCAGCTTTTCTGCCCTGCTTTTTCCCCATCTTTTTGGTTTTATCTGCCTCTGGTCTTGATGATGGTGATGTACTGATGGGGTTTTGGTGTAGGTGTCCTTCTTGTTTGATAGTTTTCCTTCTAACAGTCAGGACCCTCAGCTGTAGGTCTGTTGGAGATTGCTTGAGGTCCACTCCAGACCCTGTTTGCCTGGGTATCAGCAGCAGAGGCTGCAGAAGATAGAATATTGCTGAACAGCGAGTGTACCTGTCTGATTCTTGCTTTGGAAGCTTCCTCTCAGGGGTGTACTCCACCCTGTGAGGTGTGGGGTGTCAGACTGCCCCTAGTGGGGGATGTCTCCCAGTTAGGCTACTCAGGGGTCAGGGACCCACTTGAGCAGGGAGTCTGTCCCTTCTCAGATCTCAACCTCCGTGTTGGGAGATCCACTGCTCTCTTCAAAGCTGTCAGACAGAGTCGTTTGCGTCTGCAGAGGTTTCTGCTGCGTTTGTTATTGTTTACTGTGCCCTGTCCCCAGAGGTGGAGTCTACAGAGACAGGCAGGTTTCCTTGAGCTGCTGTGAGCTCCACCCAGTTCGAGCTTCCCAGCAGCTTTGTTTACCTACTTAAGCCTCAGCAATGGCGGGCGCCCCTCCCCCAGCCTCGCTGCTGCCTTGCTGGTAGATCACAGACTGCTGTGCTAGCAATGAGGGAGGCTCCGTGTGTGGGTGTGGGACCCTCCCGGCCAGGTGTGGGATATGATCTCCTGGTGTGCCTGTTTGCTTAAAGCGCAGTATTGGGGTGGGAGTTACCCGATTTTCCAGGTGTTGTGTGTCTCAGTTCCCCTGGCTAGGAAAAGGGATTCCCTTCCCCCTTGCGCTTCCCAGGTGAGGCGATGCCTCGCCCTGCTTCAGCTCTCACTGGTCGGGCTGCAGCAGCTGACCAGCACCGATCGTCCGGCACTCCCCAGTGAGATGAACCCAGTACCTCAGTTGAAAATGCAGAAATCACTGGTCTTCTGTGTCGCTCGCGCTGGGAGTTGGAGACTGGAGCTGTTCCTATTCGGCCATCTTGCTCCACCCCCTATAACTTCTTTTTAAGTATAAAAAGTATGCAGATCTTATTTTTTCATGATTAATTAGCATTGACACTCTTTTGCAGTCTCTAAACAAAACTACACAATTATGGGAATATTACAAACATTTATTGCTTGTCTACTATGTGAATTTAATCTGCACGGAAACCTACGAAGTAAATAATTTCTCCCATGTACTAACGCAGAATGTAGAGTTCACTGGGGTTAAATTATACAATTAAGAAATGTAGGAGATGATATTGAGGACCATACTGAAATCCGGGTTAATCTGACACCATTAGGGCATGTTATATTAGAATTATTCCAGAAATTTCTCTATTTTTGAATTGTTTTGGGTGCTATATTGTATATTAGGGTAGATTTAATTAACTCGGGCAAGTTTACCACTTAGGGCCTTATTTAAATTATGCAACACATTGGTAATCTAGATTCTATAATGGACGTTTTTATGTGACTTTCACCACCCAAGCTACCCATATGCAACTAATTAGGAGTTTGAAAAATGTCTGAATTATTAACTCAATTTTCCTATTGTTATTTGTGTTTTAGGCATTTCGTAAATGTGGTCTATCATTATTGAAAGCCATCTTTCTTCCAACCATAGAAAGTTAGATGAAATTTTCTGCAGAAGACATTGTTTATCTTAATTAATTATGTGATTTTAATATCTCTTCTTTCTAGACACTCAATATGTTTATTCTCCTGCTCAATTGTTGTTTTCTTCTCTCTCAGTTGTTTTTTTCCAGTAACAGGAACTGAAAGTTACCCAAATATTAATGAGAGATAGAGAAATTGCAAATTATGTATCAACTAATGATAACTATGTTTCTTTGTATATATGGAGTATTAACAGCTCCAAAACTTTTTAACACAAGAAAAGATTAGTTTGAAATGGTTTTAGAATGTAAATAGGTTCCAACCTAGTTAAATGTGAACTGATATTGACAGTTGATATTAAATAAGCAATTTTCATTTTGCATACATCAGACTTAATCAGAAGCACAATGATTAAGTTTGCATCATTTATTGAATCAACAGACTTGTAAAAAGCATGAGTAAGCATATGATTAAGCAATTTTAAAAAGAATCATTATCCTAATATTAAACATAAATATCAAAAATTATGCTTTGACTTAGAGTATTTTTCTTAAAGATTCTTTCCACCATCCCTGTGAGGGAAGAAGAGACTTATTTCAGCTTATGAAATAGAAGAGTATGAAAGTTATGTCAGTTGCTTTTTGTAAATGTAAAAATATTTTAATCAGTAAACTGAACAATTTGAAAAATAGAACACAATACATCTTTCCCAAGCAGAGTATTTGTTGAATTTACATCTTGACTGGGTTGCAAAATAGTGACAAATTTCACGTTGAATTTACATTTCACAGTAACCTCTAACATGAAACCTGTAACATTTATGTCAGATTCTCTTTATGGTCCCCCGTAAAGGCCTGGTTCCTTATTTTTAATGTTTGGAACTTCTCTCTTATAAAACATTTTATAACAAAATAATAAAAATGTTATAATGAAATTCACATTTTAGAAGTGTGCCATTGGATGACTTTTTGACAAACATTCATGTTATTTCACTTGCTTTTGCCTCATAATCCTTTACACCTCTGTGTTAAACAACATTTCTTTTGACCTGGCATTCAATCCACAATTTTCTCACCATACTCTGGTTTCAACTTTTTCTGTAAAGAATCAATTAGTAACTATTTTAGGTTTCTGGGACATATGGTGTCTGAAACAACTACTTAACTCTGCCGTTATAGTGGGAAAGTAGCCATAGAGAATATGAAAGTAAATGAGCATGACTGTTTTCCAATAAAGTATTATTTATGGACACTCAAATTTTAATTTTATATTTACATGTCATGAAATAGTATGCTTTGGATTTTTCCAATGCTTTAAAAATGTAAAATTCATTTTTAGCTCCAAGGCTGTACAAAAACTGTTGGCAGCATAGATTTGATCAGCGGGCCGTGGTTCGTTGATCTCTGCTATAATCTAAAAGATAATAAAATCACAGAATTTCAGGAAAAGGTCTAGAGAGTATCTCATCTAATGTGTTTTTTTTTTTTTAGTCACAAAGGCAACTAAAGCTCAAAAATAAGGGACCTAAGTGGTTTAAAAAATGTCATATGGCATGTCAGAGGATCTGTCCTGGTCAACTGGTAGCGGTTGCCTGGAGGATTGTGTTGGGATAGGACTATGAAGTCCAATCTGAGTCTCATGGGAGGAAAGTCATGTTGTGATTGATTGAAGATGTCTGCTTAGTATGCTACAATGGAATCATACCAAGGGAGTATTTAATGTTTGCAAATTCATATTTTTGTGCTCTGCTAAGGAACAGATTGGAGGATAGGAAGGATCAGAGAAACAGAAATCAAGATTGTGTGAATGGCAGCTTGGAAATGAAAAAGAGAACAAATGAATGAGCAATTAAAATATTGCAGACTCTTCCAATTGCCATTTCATGCAATGAATATATGCCTCTAAGTGAGTGTAGGAACCTTGATAGAATTTCCCGTTCTCTCAGTCAGGAACATATCTCGATACAGAGTATGATTCTGGGCTTTAAAGCTACTTTTCTATTCTTTTTTTTTCCCCCCAATGCAACATGTCTCAGATGCAAGCTACCTACAGTAGTTTGCAGTGTTCATTTGCGGTGGGGGAAACACAGTGTGTTTCAATAGGGGAGGCAAATTTGGCAATATTGAATGTTTTGAAACATGTTTATTAGGTTTTCATATGCAGTTTTCCACAAGGCAATTTTGACTTGATACATTGTCATCTATATTATGTACTTACAAATCACCCCCTTGAAAGATGTATCTCTACTGTACATCATAAATGTTATGTCCTCTAACAAGCCCAAGGTAACATCAGGCATTAAAAACTCAATGTTAACTTTAATTAGTACCCTCACCTGCAAGAGTGCAAGTGATTGAAGATTACAGCAAATGCTTATCCCGTTCCTTTAAGTCCCCAGAATGACTCTAGACTCATTCCTTATTCTTCTCAGGCTTTGCTAACTGGAGTACAGGAGCAATCAGCAGGCCCAGAGAGTATGTTTTACCTTTCTGATAACTTTATTGGATGATCAAATCACTGGTTTACCTTGGTCATTTGAATATCTGTACCAAGTGCTCACTCTGCTAGCCACCCTACAGAAAGAAAGCGATCAGGCCAACAGGAGTTCAAACAATGACCTATAACTCTAGCATTAGAAGCTCAGGCCCTAAACTAGGGTCATTCTCAGTCTAGGTCTGGTTGTCAGCTCATAACTGTACTAGTCACAACTTATGCGTTCATGTGTTATACCTGCATGTTTTTGCTTCTATCTTAGGGGATTTTGTTATCAGAGATGGAACATGTACACAGGCAGATAAGAATTCTAAATATAATCCCCTTCTTGCCTTCAGAAATCTCTGTAAAGCCTTTGAAAAATGCAAAAGTGGCTTATTTGAAGTAAAAACTGGAATATTAATCAGGAATTAAAGATACCTGGCTGGTATTTCAGATTCTGCCTTGGATTGCTGGTCATATTCAACATCTTCTTTATCTGTGGCATGAAGAGACTACTGTGTCTGTCTCTTTTGGCACAAAAGCGATGAAGATAAATGATATACTGTGCTTCAGTATAATTCCTTTGTTAATTACAATATTACATAAACATCATGATAATAAACATTTTGCTCTACCATAATTATTATCTATGGTAATAAGATGTGACAGATAAGCTTATTTTCCTCAATTAGTTTTAATTTAACAGCAGACACCCCTTTCTTCTTACAGCCTATAACTATCTGCTAAGTACACCCTTTCAAATTATTGGTTGGGTAAGAAAGAAAATTCAGTGCCCTTCCTGTATATTAACTTGATAATATGGCACAAATAATCTTTGTGTTATAAATAGTTCCCTTTCATACCAGATGCAACTAGAAAGTCAAAGAAAATAATGTTGTAGATGAAGAGAGGCATTATTTCTATTTTCTGGAGTGAGCACAGTGCTGCCAGTGTTCAACATTTTTTTCCCATTTCATGACTTCCACTGACACTGACTCATTGTGCAGCCCTGGTGATTTTCCATAAGAGGCTTGCCAACAATTGAAGGACCATATTTTTTCTGGGAGCAAAGAGAAATGATGGCTCTTTTTTACAACCTGAAAATTCAATAATTTCTAAATTTGTTTTTCAGAAAATTAATGCTATAGGCCAAAGTGAATGTCTTTCTAAAATTTTAACTTTGGTTTTTTGGGGGATGGGGGACAAGGGGAAGGAGAGCATTAGGACAAATACCTAATGCATGCGGGGCTTAAAACCTAGATGACAAGTGAATAGGTGCAGCAAACCACCATGGCACGTGTATACCTATGTAACAAACCCACACATTATGCATATGTATCCCAGAACTTAAAGTAAACTATTTTCTATTAAAAAAATAAAATCTTAAGTACTTTTTAAAATTATATTACTATAAGGTAGGATTTGTAAAATAAAGTATTATTGAAATATAATATCCCTGTAAAACCTGCACTTATCATAATTATATAATTATTTGGTGTGGTCTTTTATTTTCCATATATATTATGCTATTTTTCTATTTTTTCCAAAAATATATATTTTAACAAAATTGTTTTGCAACTTGACACTGAAAAATTAAATAAAAAACTAACAAGTATCTTGAATTTTATTTTTAAATATATGCATTTAATTTGGGAAGACTATATAGCAACATGTTTATAGCAGTAGAAGTCACTGCTGTTTTGTGAGACCAAGGTAATTTGCTTTTTTAAAAAGAAAATCTTTTTTGTAATTTCTAAGTTATCTTCAGCTAATACACATAACTTTTATAATCAAGAGGAAAGCCATAAAAATTACAGAGAATTCCAGTCCCCCAAATTGCAATATTTGTCTCCTTTGGGTACAATTGAATTTTTACAAATCAAATTCATTTCTCTTGGCATATTGAAATTACTTCTCTATGGTTTCATAGTTATTACTACATCCAGCCTAGGTTTTGCTAGAGCCAAATCCAGATTTGGGCACACATGGACATTTATTCATTTGACTTAGTTTTGTAGAAATATCTCTGTTTACATAGGGATGAACTGGGGCAGTGTTTCCCTGCGTTCTAAAAGTTATTATTCTCTCTCATAGCACAATATTAGTCCATTTCTCCTTCTAAAAAGGCCCCATGACTTATTGGTATGAACCAAATTAATGTGTTTCTGGAAATTAAGTCGTTATTTCCAACTATCTGCTGTGCTCATTAGAGAATCATGTGCTAATTCACTGTCAGACATCCTAGTAGTTTTCAAAATGTGAACTTTTTATTAGCCTCAACAGATTCATTTGTGGACTGGTTAAAATGCAGATACTTAGGTTTCAATCCAGTCTTTTAGTCAGAATGAATGGAAAATGGGTTGTGCTCTTCAAGTGATTGATTCTCATGCATACCTTTCAGTTCAGACAGTCTCAACTTTTCTTTCAAGAGCTGGACCCCATTCTGCAATTAAAAGTTTAGGTAGAATTATAACATATAAAATAACTAAAAAGAAGTCACTCTGGCTTAAGAGAGTTTTAAAAGCTTTACCTATTAACCCTTCTTCCCCTGACCTCTGCTATACAAGGTAATCCCTTGTCTTCATCTGTTGTGTGCTGCTGCAATAGAATACCTGATACTGGGTAATTTGTGAAAGAAAAAGACATTTATTTTCTCACAGTTTTGGAGGTTGGAAGTCCAATATCAAGACAGTGGAGGTTGGGGCCCAGTCTCTCTGCTTCCAAGATGACGCCTTGAATAGTGAGTATTCTGGAGGGGAGGGATGCTGTATCCTCACAGGACAGAAGAACAGAGAGGGCAAACCCACTTCTGCAGTTTTTCTTACAAAAAACATTTAACCATTCGTGAGGGCAGAGTCTTCATCACCTAAACACATTCCATTAGGCCCCACCTCCTAACATTGTTACATTGGGGATTAAATTTCTAACACTTGAATTTTGGAGGGAACATACTTAAGCCATAGCACCCCTGAAACACCACAGTTTGGGAGCCACTGATAATTCAGCGTCTTCAAGAATTCAGAGATCCAGAGTCCCTGACCTAAGCAATGGAGCCCATTAGAGTCTAACCTTCATAATGGCTGGAATTGCTTCTGTTTTGTCATTGACTCCCTCATGCATAGAACAGTGCCAGGCACACAGCAGATTCTCAGTCTCTATTTGGTGAATGAATAGAAGAATACAATATATAATAATTGAACCCACATTTTTATCATTTTTCTGACCATGATATTTAATTTTTACGTTGCTCATTTGTCAGATGAGGTTTGATTAGATAGTCTCTAATATTCCTTCTTTCTAAACACAGAGCATCATGAAGTTGAAATTCTGTTGTGGTGTCACAAAACCAATGTTGAAATTCAGTGTCTACAACACTTGAGACTTGGCTGTGATCTTCGGTTTTCATCATATAGAAGTTAGTACTTTTGGAGTGCAGATTATGTTCTGTTAAAATATTGGTTTCAATTTTAGTAGCAAAATGATATTCACTTATTATTTTTAAATTTAAACCATAGAGAAAGGTACAGAGAAAAGTAAAATCCTTCCCTTTGAATCCTTCTCTCAGGAAATAGCCTTCTTTACTTATTTGGTTTGTTTCCTTTCTAGCATTTTAGTGTGCACAGAGTGGTTACTCTTAGACATCTATCATATCAGAGATCTTCAGATTAACTGTATCGATAGTCGTTTTGCTGATCCAAAAACATTCTCAGGAAAAAATAAGATAAATCCATTAGTCTAAAGCAATTTCTATCCAAATTAGAGATAATTTGGAAAAAATAAAATAAAATGCCAATGAATCACTCTTTATTCTAAAAGAAAAACATTGCTTTGGCCTTTACTTATAGAAATACACAATAAAAAATGTAAAAGTCACTCAGAATCTCAAATTCTAAATAGACTATATTTTAAATGGTAACTTCCTCTATGTTATGGCTTGAATGTGTCTCCAAAATTTATTGGTGAGAAACTTCACCGCCAAAGCTACAGTGTTGGGAGGTGGGGTCTAACGGGAGATGCTTAGGTCATAAGGGTTCTGCCCTCATAAATAGGCTAATGCCACTGTAAAAAGGACCTGTCATAGTGGGTTCACTCTCTTTTGCCCTTCCTCCCTGCGTCACATGAGGAACAGCAAGAAGGCCTTCACTAGATGCTAGCACCTTGAAATTAAACTTCCCAGTCTCCAGAACTGTGAAAGAACTCATTCCTCTGCTTTTGAAATTAGTCAGTCTCTGCATAAAACAGACTAACAGAAATTTGTACCAGGAGAGGGGTGTTACTACAACAAATATCTAAAAATGTGGAAGCAACTTTGAAACTGGGTAATGGAGAGAGGCTGGAATAGTTTTGAAGTGAATGCTGAAAAAAGCCTTTATTGCCATGAATGGAGCATTGAGGGTAATTCTGGTGAGGGCTCAGAAGAAAAGAAGAGCTGTAGGGAAAATCTGAATCATCTTGGATATTATTTAAGAGGTCATGACAAGAAGGCTCATAGAAATATAGACAGTAAAGGTCATTCAGATGAGGTCTTAGATGGAATGAGGAATATCTTATTGGAAACTGGAGGAAAGGCCATTCTTGTTACAAAGTGGTGAAGAAATTAGCTAGCCAGTCACAGTGGAGCATACCTGTAGCCCCAGCAATTTGGAAGGCCAAAGTGGGTGGATAGCTTGAGGCCAGGAGTTTGAGACCAGCCTGGGCAATGAAGTGAGACCTCATATATACAAAAAATACAAAAATTAACCAGGCATGGTTGTGCACACTTGAAGTTCCAGCTACTTGGAAGGCTGAGGAAGGAGGATCGCTTGAGCCCAGGGGCTGGAGGTTGCAGTGAGCTGAGATTGTGCCACTGCACCCAGCCTGGTCAACAAAGCCAGACCCTGTCTCAAAAAACAAAAAAGAAAAGATTAAAAAAAATAAATTGGCTAAACTATGTTCCTGTTCTAGAACTTTGTGGAAGGCAGAGCTTAACAGCATGAATTAGGATATTTGATAGATGAAATCTCTAAGAAGCAAAGCATTCAGAGTGCTATGTGACTTCTCTTAACTGCTCGTAGTAAAATGTGAAAAGGAAAAATGATTTAAAGATGAATTTATAATCAAAAGGGAAACAAAACATAGAGAGTTGGAAAACTCAATCTGGCCATGTAAAAAATAAAAAATAAAAAATAAATGGGAGAGAAAACCAAGGATGTAGCTAAGCTACCATTTGATGAGAAGAATAGAAGGAAGGTGGGTGCTATTTATAAGACAATGGGAGGATGACCCCAAAAGGCATTTTATAGATCTTGAGGCTGCCCCTCCCATCACAGGCCCAGAGTGCCAGAGCCTTGGGGACAGAATGGTTAGGAGGAAGGGACCTAGGGGATACATTGGACCACAAGGCTCACTGCCCAAGGCTGCTCTAAGTCCCTGTTCCCCACATTTCAGCACAATGCTCCTCAGTCACACTAGTTGTGGCTCAGGGTCCAGGTATGGCTTGGGCAGTAAGCCTTGGTAATATCTAACTGGTGCTAATTCTGAAGGCATGCAGAGCACAAGAGCTGGGGAGGCATGACTTTCTCCATCTAGATTTCAAAGGATGCCCAGCTCTCTGATTTATCTATCTC